GCCTGAAGTTAAACAAGCGGCCATTTAGTAGAGAAGCAACAAACTCACATAGAAGCACACCAGCCTGTGCCATCATGAAGTGTTGACAGGATCAGGTAACAGGCATCAGAATACCCCAGCAAACAAACAAAACCATATTGTTGAGAATGAGGGGGGTCGGAGCAGAGACCCAAAACCCATCTGTGGACAATGGGACATTCCCTCACAAGGAAGGGATGAGTCAACCAGGGTGGGTGCAGGATAACACCGATGAAACACTCAATATTCCTCTGGTTCCTTGAAGCCTCCTCACGCCCCACTATCATGACCCCAGTCTTGCCTTTCATTGTGGGCTAGACCGGAGCATGTACAACAGGTACAGATAAGAAATAAGAGCTCACGACACAAGGAATCCAGGAACAGGAATGGGAGTAACGATACCAGAAGAGTAGGGAGAAGGTAGGGAGAAAAGGGGAGGAAGGGGGAACCGATCCCAACATCGACACATAAGCACCCCAACCCCCAGGGGGGGTGATGAACAACAGAAACTGTAGGAGAAGGGAGAGAAAAGTCAGTGTAAGATATGAAAATAATAATAATTCATAATTTATCAAGGGGTCATGAGGGTAGGAGTGGGGAAGGGAGGGTAAAAAGAGGAGCTGATACCAAGGGCTCAAATAGAAAGTAAATGTTTAGAAAATGATGGCAACATATGTACAAATATGCTTGATACAACTCATGTATGGCATGTTATAAGCACTGTAAGAGTCCCCAGTAAAATGACTAAAAAAAGAGAAAAAGTTGGCAAGCCTGTGAGGAGACAGGTAATCTTAGACACTGCAGGGGATATCACGAACTTAACACAACCCTATCAGGGAAACTGGGGAATACTTAACAAATTACATAGGCACTTAACTCTGGACTCAGCAGTCCCACTCCTAAAATTTTAAAAAATATTTATGCACAAGATAATTCCACTATAGTGTTGTTGGTAATGGCTTAACAGTAGAAATAACCTAAAGCTCGATACGTAGGAAAGTGGCTGAATAAGCTTACTATGGTACAACTTTATACTGAAATACCATGTGCCTTAAAAACCCGGAGGAAGAGCTCTAGAAACTGATGTGGAGCGGCTTCCCAAGTGGACTGTGAAGCGAACAGAGCAGATGTGAAAGTGTACACACAGCAAGCTACCCCTCATGTATGAAAGGAGCATCCGGAAAAACGGGACGCAGAAGTAGGAACTGAAGAGATTGGTTACCTAAGGGGGGAGAAGTGGGTCACAGGGAGGAGAAGAGAGAGAGACACTAGTTTGAGTATACAAGTTTTTATATAGCTTACCCAGAAAATACATAAAACTAACTAGGATAAAAACAAGTAACAAAGGAAGCCGACGGTTTTACAAATGAGAAACAACCACGCTGAAGGGGAAAGAGGAGGAACTCACCTCAGTCACTCTGGAAAACAGTCATTTGAGTGGATACGATTAATGCTGAAGATAAAAAGAACTGTGGCAGATACTGTACTTATCTCAGGCGGAGGGGAGAAGAGTACAATGTACAATGGCCCCCCTCCCCTCCGGGGGATGAACAGTCGAAATGTGGGTGAAGGGAGACAGCAGACAGTGTAAAATATGAAAATAAAAATAATTTATAGATTATCAAGGGTTCACGGCAGAGTGGGGGTGGGGAGGGGGGAAGCTGATACCAAGGGCTCAAGTAGAAAGAAAATGTTTTGAAAATGATGATGGCAACATATGTACAAATGTGCTTGATACAACTGATGTATGGATTGTTATAAGAGCTGTAAGAGCCTCCAATAAAGTGATCTATTCAAATAAAATAAAAAAACACTCTACTAATTTAGTAGATCTGTTTTTTTCAGGGCTAGGGGTTAACAATTGTTAGCGTACTCAATGCTCAATGTGTACACAAAGAAAGAACAAACGAACAGATACACCTCGCTGTTAGGAAAAGAAATTTTAAATAAATGAGTACTGAATTGGAAATGGAAGATCAGTATGAATTCATGTATTTTAATTAGATAGATACACATAGGAATAAATAGATGCACACACACACACACACACACACACATGGGTGCGTGCGCACACGGTTCTTAGGTGTCTGCTAAGAATCTCTAGAAACACTAAGGTCTGTTGTTGATTCCAGAGCTGAGGCTAGGGAAACTCAAGTGAAGTCTGAAACATTTTGTAGTGGAAGAACCCTCACAATAATTGTATGAGGGAGGTACCTGTATTATGCAATTTTATAGAGTCACCCAGAGGTTAGGAGACCTGCCCATGGTCATACTGCTGTGATTCAAATCTAGGCCCATGCTTTTTCACCACTCTGCTGTTATATAGCACCTTCAAGGATTTAAATAATCTGTCTTGGTATTTAACTTTGCAAGCAAAAATAGAAGTTGAAAAATGTAGACTAACCAAAACACTAAAGATTTTCTCAATCCTCAAAAGTTTTAAAACAATAGCAGCAACGACCTTAAATGATGCCTCCTCTACTATGGCAAGTATTAGTAGGTATTTCTAAAGTGTGGCTTCAGGAAAAAAATTAGGGTCATTTAAAAATTCTCTATAAATATCACTGCCTGTACCCTGCACTGGAGGAAAAAAGCAATCAATAACCAATTAAACTGCAAGGCAAATAAATGTATCCTTCACAGACGGCTTTCACATCAGAAGGTCTGCTACAGGCCAGCAAGACATCCAAGAGGAAGAGGGAACCCATCGAGCCCGATGCCACCCATGAATACTTAACAAAGGGAACCACCAGATGTCTGGGAAGGACCCTAAAGATACACTAAAACCACCAGGGACAACACTGGAGACATTCTTTAATCCAGATCAATGCATTATGCTGGACAAAGATTAGATTTGCATCTATCTAGTCATGTGCTAAAATCAATAGAGCTGATTAATTGCTCTGAAAAAGCAATTAACAGCATTCTATCAGTTAACTCAAATCTGCTTTCCAAAGTTAAAAATCAACAGTGGATCTGAGAGTGTTTTTAAAGTTCTGATTGAAAAACTACTTGAAGAGTAGAAACCCATAATTCAAGAAAATCATCTGCAGTTTACAGAATTGAGGAGGATAAATAAGGTGTACATGGTACTTTCCTCCCTGTCTTCATTTTCTGTAATTATTCCAAATAAAATATGGACCTCGGGGCTCACCCCAAGGCTCTATGCATCTGTGAACATTTCTGAAGGCACTTACATGGGAAAACACACTAAGTCACATTCCGAACATAAAGAAATATGATCCCTGTCTTCTAAGGAACTCAGTCTAGTGTGACACATGTACATAAGACATCTTTAAATGCACTGCAGCACACACTATAGTACAGACTTAATTACATGGCTAACATACATGAGGATAAACATTTCTCTGTGGTTTACATGAGGGGCACGTTGTTTCAATCTGTATTATAATCAAACTAATAAAAACAGGCAACATATAATATAAAATAGTGATCCACTGTGTCTCATACCACTCTATCACCAAGTCCGTGGCTTCATGCTATGATCCTTGGTATTTTATATCTACATTTCTGATCCCTTCTGCCAGCTTCCTCTACGTCCAAGTCTCTTTCATCTCTATCTATGAACCAGTCTCCTACTTCCACTCTTCGCTTTCTTTAACTCAGTCTCCCCAAACTAACTGTCGTGTGTGGCTGGGGATCATGCCGTGGATTCCCACTAGAGTGACCCTCTGTCACAGAGTAGAAATGCTCCAGAGGGCTTGCCTAGGCTGTTCTTCTGCTTAGAGGAGAGTGCTGGTCTTCCTCCCAGGGTGCTGCTGGGTGGATTCAAACTGCCAGCCTTTCAGTTGGTAGTCAAGGGCCTAACTAGTGTGCCTCTAGGGTTCCTTAAAAAAGAAAAAAAAAATCAGAATAGTCTTTCAACAATGGAAATCAAATAATGGCATTGCCTTGTCTTAAATTCTCCATGGCTTTACTGAGCATCCAACAGGAACTCCACACCTGTTGCCATGGGTCAATTCTGACTCCGACGGATCGAGCAGCCCCAGGCTGTGATCTTGGCCAGCATCCAGGTTCCTCCCCCAGTGTCAATGCACTACAGCAGGCTGCCCTCGCCACTCTGACTTAACAGAGACTGCATGTATGAGGGCTTCAAAAAGTTAGTGGAAAATGGAATTAAGAGAACTTCATTTTCCACAAACTTTTTGAAGCCCCCTCATAGCTCTTTCCCATGGTATCATCCCAACTATATTTCACTTGATTATCATAGTCTATTTTCTAAGAACAGTTATCATTAGAGTTTCTTTGATTGCTTCAGCTGGTTGCTTGTCTGTCCAACCCATGTAAGTTAAGTACTCTGTCTATACCTTGCCTCACGACTGCTCATGCTTGGTTCTGTAAGAGCACATACACGAATAGTTGGAATTGTTTCTAAATTTACCTAAGATCTGAATGATGTGAGAATCTTTTTTTCCCTTTAATGGACAATTTTAAAATGAAAAATTTCAAAAACAAGAGAACATAGCTTAATAAATAATAATATACTCACAATCTATTTCAGCAACTACCAACTGACAGCAATCTTGTTTCAACTATACCCGTCGTCACTTAATCTCATCTCTCATTTGAAACTAATTCCTGACAACTAGCATTTTGTATAAAAATATTCAAGGTATAACTCTCAAAATAGAGCGCTTTTATATGTAATTGTAGTATAAGGAACCTTTTAAAAATGTAAAATTTGGGGCCTCATATCCCTTTGGGGCATAATGCATCAGCACCTCCAGGGTGAGGCACGCATTTATCATGTGTTCTTCAGATATTCCTGATCCAGCCAGCCATCTCAGAGTGATTCTACAAGGCTCAAAATTGTGAGTTACATCGGCACTCTACCAGGCAAATACACCAATGAAAATATCTTAGAGAAGATAAACAGTCTAAGTTAAAAAAACCAAAAGTTTTAGAGTTTAAAACAAAAACAAAAAGAACAAAGATAAAATATTGAATCAAAGAGTCCTTACTTGGAGACAGAAAGTGGATGATTGAATTCTTCTTCCACAATGATGTTGCTCTCTTCAAAACTGGGGATGTCAACTGCTTTTAATGAAGATGCACTGCCTGGAAGACTTGTGCCTTCATTATTAATATTAACAGAAAAATCCATGTCCTCACTGGAAATTTTGGTGTCATCTTGTTTCAGCTGAGATTCAGCCTCTTGCTCGTCACCTGCTGCATTCCAAAACAAGCTAGCACCTGGGGGTTAAATAATTGAACAGATTTTGAAACAAACATTCAACTATTAAAATTAATTTTCTGACAACCCTATACGTAAGACCGGCTATGTTATTTTAGTGCAGTTATCTAGAACCGTTTACAGACAGTATTTCCTCAGAAGTGCAACCAAGAGGTAGGTGACGGGTAGAGAGATAGAGAAGCTAAGGAAGTGAAGGGCCCATGGTCTTTCAAAGATCTACTCTAGCGATTCTCAACCTGTGGACTGCGACCCCTTTGGGAGAAGAACAACCCTGTCACAGGGGTTGCCAAATTCATAACAGTAGCAAAATGACAGTGATGACGTAGCAACGAAAATAATGTTATGGTGGGGCGGTCACCACAACATGAACTGTATTAAAGGGTCGCGGCATTAGGAAGGTGGAGAACCACTGCTGTACACAGTCACACCCCAGCCGCTTGGAAAGGAAGGGCTTTCAAATGATTTTTTTTTCCAAATGATCTTTTACATATTAAAATTCCAAATACAATTTGGGCTGGGGTTAGAGTGTGTTGAATACTGTTCTGAATACCAGGAGAAAATATATCAAATACAAATGCTTTGACTCTGATTTGATTCCTAAATACAATCCTTATGAAACTACATTTGGGGTGCATCAGATTCGTGAAATATCAGCATGTATTTAGAATCCATGGTGGTTTTAAAAAGAACAAAGAGTTAAGAACCCTGAAAATCTGAATTCTTTCACATTTTTTCATTTCACAACCATAAAATTTGGGAAACATATAACAACCAAAAGTTTCCCAAATATTATGAATCACTTTCACAATATTTGGATAACTATGTGCATGTATTATTTACTTACTATTTTTCTTTAAATTAATTCACTTAATTTTTACTTGCCATTATCATTAAAGAAATAAAACCTGTAAAATCTTAGATTTGAAGAAACTATATTTTTTCAACATTAAATGTAACTTTTTTCCTGAAATACATACAATATTCATCTTTATACCACCCAAAGTGATATATATACCCTCAGTGATATAAAGGCCACAATTTAAGGAAACGTTTATATACATAGTAGTTTAAAATGGTTAAAAACAAAGATGCTAATCCAAGTACTTGATGGTCATTTTAGATGCATTTACAAAAATAAAGTAAATAAATGACTTTTTATTTTTGCATGCATTAAGCCTTTTAGTTTTAGTTTAAACAAATAAACAAGTCTTGTAAGCCTGTCTTTAAGTCCTACTGCTCTTCCTGAATACATATAATACATATCTTTAGAAGTACATTGTAGAATATGTCTAAAGACATCTGCTTCAACTTAAAAAATTATTCATCATTTTATTGGGGGGCTCTTATGAATCTTATAACAATTCATCATTCAATTGTATTACGCACACTTGTACATATGTTGCCATCAACATTTCCGAAACATTTTCTTTCTACTTGAGCCCTTGGTATCAGCTCCTCTTCTCCCCTCCCTCCCTCCCTCCCCACCTTGTGAATCCTTGATCCATTATATATTATTGTCGTATAAATAACTCTGGTGAAGTTTTGTTTGTTTGTTTTAAGGAACGAGGCAATTTATTAACCCAGCATCATTTGTTCTAATGTTTCTTGTTGGCAGCTGCCACCTGTCCGGCGATTCTGTCCCTGAGGTGTCCGTTTGCGGCCGCCGTCTTGGTCCTTTACCATCTTGAGCCCCGCCAGGGCTTGAAGGCCCCTGCGGGCCACGCTCTTGTGCCCGGCTGAAGTGGCACAACACCCTTCCTCTGCCGCCCCCCGTAGAGCTGGGTCATGGAGCCGACCCCAGCGCCACCCCAAGGTACAGGTGCCGTGCTGTGGACCCAGTTCTCGTCACAGCGAGCAAGCTCTTTATGCTTGGCCACCTTGACTGTGTCCACCCAGTCAGGGACTTTCCGCTTCCCGGACTCTTGGTGGAAGGCTGCCGGGCTCGACGAACTCCTGCTGGGTCCTGTCTTGTACAGGGACTCCAGGCATCGTGCGGCCTCCGCGCTGCCGGCCAGGGGAAAGGGACTCTGGTGACGTTTTCAACCATTTTCAGAAAAGCAGTTCAAAGACACAAATGACTTCATTCAATTATTTTTTTTGGCATCTATTCTATATCAGGCATTACGGCAGCACTGAGATCCATTGGTAAGCCCTTGTCCCACGTTTCCAAAAGCTTGTTCTAGTAGCAGATACAGATAATAAGCAACTATAATACAGTAAAACCCAAATTTTATTAGGAAACTGACACTTTGGGGTATATTTACTTAGCTCACAATACCCACACCTCTTTCACTAGCACCCTTCCACCCACCCACCCAACTTTCCCTTGGGAGCTACCTCCTGCAACCCACTGACAAGGGCCTCCAGCGGCTATTTCGAAGTTGTAGACACACCCCCTTCACTGTGCTAGTGAGCCAGGGATTAAAGCCTAATGCAAACTCGGCTGCTCAGGTTCTAGAATTTGTAACTGGGACCAAGACTGAGGGGCAGTACACTGGCGACCTAAGCCTGTCACTGTAACATAGAGACTTCAGCGCTCTGGTCAAGAGAAGCAGCGGAAGCAAGACTGCAGAGAGCTTTGATTACAGAACAGCGCCATGGAGTTGCAAGAGAGTCGAGTGTTAGCCCAGTTTCTTGTTCTTGTACATTGTCGGATGTCCACACCTTCGCTGTAGGCCTTGTCTTTATCCAAACATCTCCACACACTTCCAGCAAAGTCTCCTTCCTTGTTGAAGTCAGTGCAAGGTAGTTTATGTTACTGGCAGCCAAAGGATCTTAACAATCCTACTGGAATATGATGTATAAGCGTATGTGTGGTTGAAGCTAGTATTACACTCCTTATTTTCCTCTACCTAGTTCATAATGCATGAGTTTAGAAAGAGTATGCAATCTGCACTTTCAATTCTCCCTCTTCAATTTTTCTTCTCCTGCCTCAAACCACATGAAGTCGAAGCCATCGCCTGCACTCCGCTCCTGTCTCCTGACACTGAGTGGCTCCAGCACTTGTCCAAGAGTAACAGCCTCAACAGGAATTTAGACTGAACTCGGAACCCGGACTTGCCGAGTTTTGTTTAAAGCTACTGGTGTTTAGCCTGTCATGCAGGCTTAGAGCCCAGAATGACTTTCTACCTTTAGTTCACTTCACCTTCTATTTTTATGAACATGTGCAAAAATCAAGAAACCAACATTAGTAATTATTAACAACGAAACTCCAGGCTCCTCCCCACCCCCACCCTTCTTCCCCACCACCAGATTTCACCAGATTTTCTACTAAGGTCCTTTTTCTGTTCCAGGACGCCTGGTATAGGGCATTTAGTTGGAATAACTTCAAATCCTCCCTCAATTCGCAAATCCAACGATTAGATCCTACTAACATCTTATTCTACTCTATTCATTCTTACCACTCCCACACCATCTTCTAGCCCAAGAGCCTTGGTGGCACAGTTGGTAAGCACTCAGCTAGAACAGGGTCGAACTGGCGGCTCCATGGAAGAACGAAGTGGCGTGTACTTTTATAAAAGCAGCCTTGGAAAACGCATAGGGCAGTAATACTCTGCCCTCTAGGGCTGCTATCAGTTGGAACGGACTTAACAACAATGGTTTTAACGTGGGTTTGGTCTAGACATCTTGCTAGATGTTGCAGACATAAAGATGCTCCTGAAGATTTCATTGTCTGGTGGTAAGCAAACATATGTCATTGCCATCATTAATGGAATGTTTAAAAAGCAATTCATGCTGTTCATAAAATGTAGTAGACCTTGCTTTGTGGACAATGTTAATAAAGGCGTTCCATGACATCGTAAGGAGGAGTTTATGTTATAATGCCAAACTAACTGAGTTCCATTCTAGAGTCTGATGGTCACTACCTGTATAGCTTTGGCCAAGCAATTTCACCTATGTCACCATTTCCTCATCTATAAAAGGTAAACAATTAAACCTACTTCTTAAAACGGTTCCACAGATTAAATAAATCAATCATACACTAAGCACTTAGAAGAGGCAAGGCACCTGGTAAATGCTTGTTAAGTGTTAGCTGCTGTTACTAGGTCAGCAGTTCAAAACTACTAGCTGCTCCAAAGGAGAAAGACAGGGCTCTATACTCTCGTAGAGAGTGACAGTCTCAGAAACTCACAAGGCAGTTGTACCCTGTCCAATAGGATCGCTGTGAGTCGGCATCAAGTCAATGGCAGTGAGCTTGGTTTTGGTTTGGCTATTACTCTATTCAGCTTCCCTTTAGCATGCTTCAGGCTACCAGCCAAAGTAAGTAATTCAAAGTGCCTTGTGATTTTCCTCAGAACCCCTATTTTCCCTACCCAGCATGCTCTTCCTAGTCTACTCCACCCACTTAAACCATATATAACCTTCAAAGCCCGGACATACATGAAACCTCTCCAGATCCCGCAAACTAGAGATAAGTTAACTAATTAGGAGTTGGGTTTTTTTAGCTTGCGGATGGAAACAAAAGCAACCAATGTATCGAATGACATGGTTTCACATCTGTGTGCAGGTAGCGTTTTATTTCATAAAGAGAAAATTCTCACAGAGTCTTAAACAAGTTATACTCTGGTCACCTTGGTTTTGGTTTGATTTTTACTGTACACCAATTTCAATGTAAAAATTTAAAGCACAGACACGAAAACAGCATTTTCAAAACAAGTCCTTAAAAATTAAAAAAAAAAAAATTTAGAAATTACCAGCTGATACCAAGGGCTCAAGCAAAAAGCAAATGTTTTGAGTATGATGATGGCGACAAATGTACAAATGTGCTTGACACAATGGATATATGTATGGATTGTGATAAGGGTTGTTCAAGCCCCCAATAAAATGATTAAAAAAAAAAAGAGAGAAGGTGGTTGAAGATAAAATTTGCCACAATATAAGGAAGCTATAAAATAAGCAAGGAAATACAGGAGTTATTAATAATTATTAAGTGCCTGCCTCCAGTTGATGTATTGGTGCCAATAAATGGCAGGGTGCCAGCGAGTTGGTTGGCTTATCAATCTAATAAACTTTTAGAAGTGATGAAAAAAAACTTAGCAATTACCTGTGCTCACAGCAATGCTCACACCTTTACTCGTGGGCAGGCCAGGAGAGTGTGGCGCCATGGAAACCAACTCCAGCTGTCCAGCACTGTCTTCAGCAGGGGCCGTCTTGGGGGTACAAGGCTGCAGGGACTGTGCTTCCAACAGACGCTGGATCTGTATCATTTACAAACATACTGTTACATTGACAATGGCGGTATTAACAAAACTTGCACCACAGCCCAACTATAAATAACTGGCTTTGAACTCTATTTTCTCATCTCTCCACTACAGCTTACCATGTAACATCTTCAACGCAGAGCACCATTGTCATTAATCATTAGAAAGCACTTCGTGTGAGGGATAAATTTAAAAGTGAAAACATAAAGGTTAGCAGCCCACAAATTGCCACTCAGCAGAAAACCTGTCTGAGCAGGAACCATTTCAAACCAATATTTAATTTCTATTTCACTCATAGATAGACTCTGACTATGTACTAAATCTTGTACATTTCACATGAGATCAATCTTACAAAGGCTTATCAGAATTGCCCATGCTTAGGCCCACAGAAACTGGCAATCACATTCATGCCAATAGATAAGTTAGTGACTGTTTCCTGCTTGTGAGACACGGGCCTAGAGCTTTTATGCATGACTCTTGTAACACATGCAGGAAGGAGTTACTACCATGTATCTAACAGCTAAGAGAACACGGTTTAGTTGTATGTTAGGTGTGCCATCCATCCTGTTCTGACCTCCAGCGACCCTGTGCACAACAGAAGGAAACACTGCCTGGTGCTCACAATTGCTTCCATGCCCAGGCTCATGGTTTCTATGCCCAACTACTGGAGGGCCTTCCTCAACTTCAGATGATTTAAAAAATAAGTAGCAAATGGAGGTTCAAACATAGAAGGCTTCTCCCTTTCTTTAAAATGGAGATGTAGTATAAACACACACACCCCCCCAGGGAGACGAACAACAGAAACCATGGGGGAAGGGAGACACTGGTCAGTGTATGATATAAAAATAATAAAAATCTATCATTTATCAAGGGGTAATTTGGGTGTGGGAGGAGGGAGTGAAAAAAAGAAGAGCTGATACCAAGGGCTCAAATAGAAAGTAAATGTTTAGAAAATAATGATGGCATCATATGTACAAATATTCTTGACACAATTGATGGTTGGATTATTATAAGAGTTGTACTAAGGGGGAAAAAATTGAGATTAGTTCACATACCATAACATTCACTCCTCTAACATGTATCCCTTTAAAATAGTTTTTAGTATTGTTACAAAGATGCATAACCATCACCACTAATTCCAAAATATTTTCATTTCTCTATAAACATCCATACCCATTAGTAATTTCCCATTTTTCCTCCTTCCAACCCCGACAACCACGAACCAAATTTCCGTCTCTATTGTGAGGAAGCTCTGGTGGCACAGTGGTCCAGTGCTCGGCGCTGACCCAGACTGGTGGGTCTTCATAGAAGCAAGTTGCGACAGTCGGCTTCCATGAAAAAGACCTCCTTGGAAAGGCCACGAGGCAGCTGTACTCTGTCCTGTAATTGCTCTGAGCCCAAATCAACTCGGCAGCACACAATAGCCCGCCCAATGTCGGAGAAGATGTGGAAAATGGTTTCATTGGTCTAGCCTTTCTGGTGGCCACGTTTATTCATTCAGTTACCCAAATATGGACTGAGCCATGATTACATGTCAAGCACCGTTCTGGGTCGCTATGAGGCAGCCGGGACTCAGCAGTGCCTACCAACAACATTCAAGGTGCTAAGAACCCAGGCCAGAGTGTGCACTCCCTCCACACAGCTCTCTGCCTACTGCAAACACACCACGCCAAAGCAAAGCAGGTCATCATGGCTTCAAAGGTGAGAAGAAGCTATTAGAGGAAGAAGGAGAAATGGCGTCAGGGGAAGTGAACTGATGGCATGCAAAGCTAAAGCAGGAACAAACACCTCGGCATGTTTGAAGAAGGAAAACGTACCAGAGTGTGGTGACCTTGGAAAGAGACCGAAGCCTGATCGCCAAGGGCTTTGACTACCTAAGTATTTTCTTTTACTTAATTGAAATGGAAAACCATGGGTGCGTGTGTCAGAAAAGAAAGAGAACCAAGTGAGGTGTCGGCTGGCCCGGGTCGGGTGGGACTTGACCTTGACAAAGACGCTGTACGTTCATCGAGAAGAAACCTGGAGGACAGCACTGCGGGCGGCAGGGGGGTGAGAGGAGACACCTGACTGAATGGGGCGGTGAAGGAAGTGCTGATAAAAAGTGGGTAGGTTCAGGATTCATCCAGAAAGTAGCCTGGGGGTCTTCGACTATATGAAATGTGGTAACACGAACTGAAGTAATAATGATAATGAAAATAATATTTATGTGCACTACTTATACACCAGGCACTATTCTAAGCTTACGAAATCCTTAGAACCCATACACATTTATGTATATATGTGCACGTGCACACGCAGGAGCCAATGAAGGTTGTTGTGTGTTATCTGTCGATTCTGACACACAGCAACCTCATACGACGGGGAAAGAGCCCCACAGGATTTCCTAGGCTGTAATTTTTACAGCAGCCCATTGCCAGGTTTTCTTCTCCCACAGAGCAGGCAGTGAGTTTGAACCGCTGACCTTTTGGTTGGCATCCAAGCACTTCAACATTGTGCCAACAAGGTTTCTATCTATTATATATACAGCACACCTACACATCTTATTTTATAAACAGGCAGACTAAAAATCAAAGAGATGAGTTAATTTGTCCAAGATCACGACACAAGTTATCCAGAAAATGGAATAGAACTCAAAGAGCCTGATGCCAGAACCCATCCCTTTGAGCGCGATATCAAAATGAAACTTGGGATATTAGGGCCAGAACAAGCTTCAGGATGTTTCAATGTTCAAGATGTCAGTGCCCTTTGACACATCACAATTTGTTTCTAAGGACCTGCTACACCCGCAGGAGAAAGATGCGGCATTCTACTCCTCTGCAGAGTTAGAGTCTGGGAAAGCCACAGGGGCAGTTCTACCCTGCGCTTTAGGGCCGCTCTGTGCGAAATCGACTCCGCGGCAGTGAGTTTGATTTTGAGAGTGCTACACAGATATTTGCACCGATGAGGGCACATGCAAGTATAAGCACAGTCAGAGCAGAAGAATGGGTGAAGGGAGACACTGGCGTGTAAGACAAGAAGAAATAACTTATAAATCATCAAGGGTTCATGAGGGATGGAGGGTGGGGGACGGGAAAAATGAGAAGCTGATACCAAGGGCTCCAGTAGAAAGCAAATGTTTTGAGAATGATGATGGCGACAAATGTACAAATGTGCTTGAC